ATACACACAACAACAATAATAATAATAATAATAATAATAATAATAACAATAATAACAATAAAAATAATAATGATTTAAATATCCTTAAGTAATAATTAAAACCACGAAAAAATGGTAACAATAATAAAATTATTATTGAAGCTAATGACGTCATAACCATTAACAACATCACTACCATCAACAACAACAACATTAACATCAACAACATCAACAACAACAGCAACAACATCAACAACAACATCAACAACAACAGCAACAACATCAACAACAACATCAACATCAACAACAACAACAGCAACAACATCAACAACAACATCAACAACAACATCAAAATCAACAACATCAACAACAACATCAACAACAACAGCATCAACAAGCAACTCTCATCAGGTTTTTGAGTGCTATATCTTACGTAGTAAGGCTTCAATTTTAAAAGGTTGCGAATGGCCAGACCGTACTTACGCAACAAAAACAACAACAACAACAACAATAATAATGATAATAATAATAATAACTAATAATAATAACGAAGCAGCGGGTACAATATCAACTTTGGTATCAATTTAAAATTTCCGCACTGATGGTGTAAAAGCAAAGAATAAACAGAAACGGAAATAGAGAATAAATTAAAAAAAACATGAGCAAAGAATAAACATAAACATAGATAGTAAACATGAATGAGTAATAAACAATAATAATAATAAACAAAGAATAACCATAAACATAGATAGTAAACATAGATGAGAAATTAATGGAGAAATTAGCAAAGAATAAACAGAAGCATACGCCAAGTGAAGACAAAAATATAGAGATGGAACAACCAAGGAAATCGACAACTACAAAAAACCTAAACAACTACAACAACATTAACAACAACAACAACATCAACAACAAAAACAACATCAACAACAACAACAACTTCAACAACAACAACTTTAACAACTTTAACAACGACAACAACAGCAGCAACATCAACAACATCAACAGCAACAGCAACAACAACAACGACGACAACAGCAACAACAACAACAACAACAAATATATTTCTGAACGCCAAAACAAAACTATTGTTCCTAGGCCTGTAAATTTTAAAATGTTCAAAATGAAATTACTAGAAAGAAAGCATCAATAGCAACAATAACAGTAATAATAACTGCACTAACAACAACAACAATAATAATAATAATAATAACAACAACAACAATAATAATAATAAAGTGGGCGATAATAATAACGAAATGATTATTGAAAAGATGTCCAGATTGAAATTGTCGGCAATGACTATGATGATGATGATGTTGTTTTGATGCTGGTGATGATAATGATGCTAATGATGATGATGATGATGGTGGGGGTGGTGGTGGTGATGATGATGACGATGATGATAACGATCACACCCTTAAATCGCCTCGTAATGGTTAAAGAGTTTCCGATTGTGTTTAATTGCGATGTTGTTGTTGATGTTGTTGTTGTTGCTGTTGTTGTTGCTGTTGTTGTTGTTGCTGTTGTTGTTGATGTTGTTGATGTTGTTGTTGTTGTTGTTGCTGGTGTTGTTGCTGCTGTTGATGATGTTGTTGTTGTTGTTGTTGATGTTGCTGTTGTCATTGTTAGCAACAAACAACACCAACAATTGAACCTTAACTCCGTGATCATTCATTTACTATCAGCGAGTGAACGCTTGATTTACTAACACTATATCGATTGTTGTATGTGTGTGTATGTGTGTGTGTATGTGTGTGTGTATGTATGTGTGTATGTACGTGTGTGTGTGTGTGTGTGTGTGTGTGTGTGTGTGTGTGTGTGTGTGTGTGTGTGTGTGTGTGTATGTTTGCTCTCACAGCATGAATGCCGTGTTTGGTAATGAGTTTTTGTTAGTGCTGTCCAGTCATCTGTACACAGAAATTAACACGTATGTGTATACACGCATACGCACATATACAAAAATACGTGCAAACATAGATACGTACACATACATACATACATACATACATACAAAAGAGGCATACATACAAACATAAAGTACCGTAAGTATATACTTGAACTTGTACTGTTGTTTATCCTTTCATTCATCCATGTATTTATTCATTCATTCACTCGTGTATTCCTTCATTCGCTATATTATATTCTAAATATTTTTTTATCGCGCGTTCGATGGATAAAAAATTTACCAGCACCTAATGTGATAACGTCAACAACAACAACAACAACAACAACATCAACAACATCAACAATAACAACATCAACAATAATAATAATAAGGATAATCAATTTTGCAAAGAGAAATTTGAAAAACATTTTTTTTAATAAAATCTCACAGCCGAATGATTTTACGCCTAATGGCTTCTATAAACACTTCACACATCCACACACACACACATACACACATACACACACACAAACAAACAAACCAACACATATACAAACATACAAACAAACATACATACAGGCATACATAGAAACGTACAACACTCGAAATCACGTTAAATGGTGTTTAAAAAGATTGATGATGAGGTTTGATTCTATTTAGAATGTTAAGAGTATAAAAAAAAATATATATCCAAATACCAAAAAAATACGAAAAAAATATATACCGACAACATACCGACGAATAACCGACCAACCAATAACCGTAATTAATCGGCCAATGACCGATATACATTTAGACAAAAAAACCAACCAAATACAGGTTAAAAACCGTCAAAACACTAACTGGAAACCGACCAAATACCGACTGAAAACCGGCCAATAACCGACTGAAAACCGACCAAATACCGACAGTACCACAAAAATACTCCCCAAACCCCAAAACGATACAAGAATTATACTGTTGAATCGAATAAAATTAACATCACTATGAAAATATATTCCTTACCGTTATAAGTTCGACCATCCATTCAAGTATATTAACAACAATAATAATAAAAAAAATAACAATAAATAATAATTATAGTTATGATAAATAATAATAATTTATATTAATTATTCTGGGGATATTATATACAAATATTTTTACGTTATTATATAATGAATATATATTTTGTGAATAAATTAAGTATGTTAATATTATTAATTATTTTATTATTATTTGTATTATTATTATTATTCATAATTTCTTTAACTGAAATTAGAATAATTTGAATAATAAACAATACAAATATTTGGTAGTTACTTCGGTGCATATGTATATTAAATTTGCTCAACCCAATGCTCTGAGCATCTTATATATGCATGTATGTATGAATGTTTGTTTGTTTGTATGTATGCATGTGTATATATGTATGCATGTGTAAATACACATGTATGTGTGTATGTATGTGTGTTTGTATGTATGTAT